TCGATGCTAGGGTTTTCGAATGAGCATGGATATTTAGAGTAGGGTTGTCAATCGATGAAATAGAGTGAGGAGGAGAGAAACGGTGAAATTGTTTCATATTCCCCACTTATATGGAAGGACATTTCAGTCAATTCATAATATTTTTTTAATTGAGGGGCTTTTGGGGTCATTGTTTTATTCCGTGGGTTGGACACAAAATAGGCCCAATGAGGGGGGTTTTTCACCAAAAATTCCTTTTTTTTTTTTTTTATAAGTTTTACGGGACATGTCCTAAATTATTAAGAAGCTTGATTATTAAGAGCATGAACTCAAAATTTAAATAAATAGAAAAAATGAAAAAAAATCAAGTAGCTTGATATCATTAGAAACATTTATATTTATTAAGAAACGTAACATCATTTTCAAGGGAAAAAAAGAAAAGAAAAAAGAAGAACGAAAGTAGTTATGTGGAAAATGTTTTTTTTTTTTTTTTTTTTTTTTTGGGTGAACAAATATGAACTCAAAATTTAAATTGGATTCCGTTAAAAAAAATAAGGTGATCTAAGTAGTTTATATTTTACTATTAAAATATAATCTTTTCACAAGGCAAGTGAGAAAGAGAGAGAAAAGATAGATTATAAGGGTAGTGTTATTTGTTTAAAGACTAAAAAAGAGTTTTTATTTATTTTTTAACAGAACTTTTTTATCCACCTCAGTGATAAACACAACATATTCTTACAATAAATTATATTTTCTAATTTTTACTTTAATTTTATTGTGCATTTATGTCTGAGTAATTTTATAAAATTCATTTAAAAGTCAAAACTAACCAAATCTCTATTTATATTTTGATCTCAAATTTTTAACAATGAATTTGATAAATTACTAGTTATATATCTACCGTTTATGATGCATGGGTCAACTGCTTCTGGCTACTGAGCCTAGTCTCAGTCGGGATTCATTCTCTCTCTCTCTCTCTCCACAGCTAAACACCCAATCACAAAAGAAACCATATAGTTCAGAAAGCACCCATTTGACAAAAAAAGAGGTCGCATTTTTCAGCTATTCTGGAAGCAAACCAATGATGTTGTTGCAAGCAAGTACCAATATAATATAACAAAGTTTGGTAATCCCTGTTTAAATGCAATGTATAAAGAGAATTGTATTATTGATTGATGTGTATTGATTGATTGATGTATATATTACAGGATTGTTGTATATATTTTGTATATTACAAGCTATTATATAGGAGAGGATTTGGGAGTAGGTGAGGTAGGTGAGTGGTGGTAGTGGATGGTAGTGGAGGTGGTGGGTGGTAGTGGAGATGGTAGGTGGAGTTGGTGGTGGGGTAATTTACACAATTTACAATTTACATTAACAGCCCCCCTCAAACTCAAGGAGGATAGGAACTAACCAACTTGAGTTTGAAGAGAGTAACAAAACAGAAAAATAAACTGATAAATAAAATAAAACAGGATAGGAGACACGGTATGGTCGTGTCAGACTGTTGTAGAAGACACGGTATGGTCGTGTCGGACCGTTGTAGCAGACAGTTTACGGGGTCATGTCGTACCGATGTAGCAGATACTGTGTGGTCGTGTCAGACCGTTGTAGAAGACAGTTTATGGGGTCATGTTGGACCGTTGTAGCAGGACAGTTTACGGGGTCATGTCGGACTGTTGTAGAAGAACAGTTTACGGGGTCATGTCGGACCGATGTAGCAGGACAGTTTACGGGGTCATGTCGGACCGTTGTAGAAGACTGTTTACGGGGTCATGTCGGACCGGTGTAGCAGGACAGTTTACGGGGTCATGTCGGACCGTTGTAGCAGACACTGTGTGGTCGTGTCAGACGGGTGACTTAGGGAGTGCGCCATGAGCGACTTATACATGATACTGTGTATAACCCCCCCTCAAACTCAAATAGGTGTGAAGATAGAAACCTATTTAAGGTT